GGGGTTGTTGTGGAGGTTGTTGTGGGGGTTGTTATGGGGGTTGTTGTGGGGGTTGTTGTGGAGGTTGTTGTGGGGGTTGTGGAAGTTGTTGTGGGGGTTGTTGTGGGGGTTGTTGTGGAAGTTGTTGTGGGGTTGTGGTGGGGGTTGATGTGGGGGGTTATTGTGGAGGTTGTTGTGGGGGTTGATGTGGGGGGTTGTTTTGGTTTTGCTTTGGTTTTGCTTCCCACTTTCCAAGGCATGAGTTGCTGTTCTTCCATTATTCTAGTAAACCTCCTAAATTGCCTATTGCACTTTCTAGCATAGAGTTTGAAGGAGATTACCTGGCCTTTTAATACCTAGGTTTGCTCATCTGACAAATAGTTGGAAGTTATGGTCCTAGTATCATAAAGTGGTTTGAATATTTAAAGGAATTGTAGAATGCCTTTGAGAACTTTGGTCTGTTTTCTGACTGTGTTGGTTATCTTCTCTTGAGGTCTAGCTCCGTCTCTTATCTGCCAGTGTGACTTCACCGAAATGCTGCTGTCCTTGCTCCTTACTTCCTAGCCTTCCACTCATAGTAATGTGAACCACAGCACCTTCTGTGGAATTGTTGAATCCCATTACTGTTGAGAAATGATAGTTTTTCTCTGTTAGAGGGAGAGCTAACAGTGAGCTCCCATTTAAAAGAAGTTCTTAATTTATACTGTATTATGTAACTCTCTTATTTCTTTCGTTCATTTTTTGTAACTATGACCATGTTTCCCAGTATTAACCATTCACTCATTTTATTATTAAAGTCATAGTAAAATTATGTTTCAATAGTAGCATCAAATCTTTGGTGTGTTCATGTTTCATGTCCATGATACGATGCTATGAAATACAAGTTCAGTAGCTCTGATTGTTAGGTGTTTAGATACTTAAGGAGAATTGAATCTTCATTATTCTTTATCCTACATCTGGTTATATTATGCATCTTCTTTATCATGTGTGACTTTCCCTGCAGTAAGCAGGTTCTGGTCCTTAACTAACCTCAAATACCATCCTTCTGGTCATCCTCTTCTGTCTTCTGATACTACTTTTTAAAAGAATGTTGAAAGACTGATGTTTAATTGCAGCCAAACCATCCACATTTAGGACAGAGGGAGGCTTGTGTTAAGTAGAATCACAGGTTTGACTTGGTATTGTGTCTACATATCATCTGTCTTCTCATTTCTTCCCCACACACATGTCCAGGGTTACCTTCAGAGTTCTCAGTTTTGCTACTAGTAGTCCTTGCCTCCAAGTTTATCTCTGCTCTTCTCCTACTTTTGTTCTTTGATTTGGGCTATTAAAATTATCTTTTTGGGTTTTTTTTTTGTTTGTTTGTTTTTGTTTTTCGAGACAGGGTTTCTCTGTGTAGTCCTGGCTGTCCTGGAACTCACTCTGTAGACCAGGCTGGCCTTGAACTCATAAATCCGCCTGCC